CAACACATTAGTGAAGAATCCAGCTTGTTTCACTCGATTTACCGGTAGAGTGCACTTTATGACTGGACTATCAGTGCAAATTTTGTACAGTGCAACTGAAATGAGAAATCGTGCGCGATGTGCCATGAGAACACGTATTACAAATGTTCGCAGCCACGCGCCGTGGCCCCGGTATTACACCAGCACACGTTAATTAAACAACAGCTAGTGTCTGTAAAATGAGAAATCCTGTAAATGAGAACTTCATTGAAATGTATCAGCACGCGTGTTCGTAAGTATTCTTTGCCCAGAGGTTGATAAATGTGTTTGCGTATATATATATATATATATGTACGCACGCACGCACACCGTTGTCAGAAACATAAGTAGTTATGACATCGGACATATCAGTTTAAAATGTCATAATTTTATAAGCGAAGTGCTGTGCAAAAATTCATGAAATTATAGACTCACGACAGACAGATCTAGAGATTTACGATGTTTCTAATAACGGGTCCCTGGCCAATAAACAGTTGTTTAGCATTAACATTAATAATCACGGAACACATTCGCGTGCAACCGCCTTATTCATAACATGTCAGATGTTACATATTGAACCACAAACATATTACAGGGCAAACACTTGCACAGAGCAATACCCGCATACGAGTGCAAACTCTTGACGATTATGGTGCAAATATCCGCTGATTAAATACATTGCCGCCCAAGCCTTTGTTCACTGAAGATGTTCACACCATTTCTTCACACCATTTACCATTAAAACAGCTTCTCTCCGTAGAAAAAACGGTCGTTTGGCTCCCTCGCGAATCCTCAGCCACTAAAGTTGTCCGCCGTAAACCCTTTGATCATTAAACACGTTCCGTCGCAGACCCTTCGATCATTAAATGTGTTTCGACGCAAAACCCTTCGATCATTAAACACGTTCTATTACAGACCATTTGATCATTAAAAAGTGTTGCGTCACACAGACTTCGATCAGTAGACATCGATCAGTGAGGATGTTTCAAATACATCATCAGCACTTGTAAGAGAGAGTGTGCGGCGCACTTCAATTCGTTTAATACTGGACCAAACTAATAGTGGCGAGAATCTACTTAGTGGCGAGGCCGACGAAGACAAGAAATTCGCAACTACCACTACGTCGTCTACTTGCACGTCTCTTCTGTCAACATTCCACTTCCGTCTGGGAACCAACAATGGGAACACATCTCTAATCCAACATTTCCTAAACGCATTAACGATTTGTTGCATAAATTCTAATCTCTCTCTAGGATTTTTAGTCTCACGAAATGGACCCTGTGGCACTCTGCTCGAAGCTCGTCCAAGTAGTACATCATTGGGACACATATAGCTACCATCGTCCGGATCATTTGGTACTCTTCCAATTGGTCGCTCGTTGACTAGGTTAGCAACCTCTTGGAGACATGTATGTAGCTCAAATGGAGTGAGCCTTTGCTTACTGATAGATTTCTTTAGCGCCAGTTTGCAACATTTAACAAGCGCTTCTGCACAGCCATTCTGATGAGGAGCAAGCGGTGTGGTGAATTTCCATGTTACTTGTCGCTCTGCACAGAATGCTTTCAGCTCTACTTCACTCCAGCCCCTCACCATCTCGCGTAATTGCCTCTCTGCCCCAACAAATTGGGTTCCATTGTCACTTTGAATAAGCTTGGGTTTTCCCCTGATGGCGAAGAAACGACGTAGGACCTGCAGAAACTCCATGGTAGAACAGTCAACTGCCACTTCTAGATGCACTGCTCTGGTGTTCAGGCAGGTGAAGATGACGCCATAATGCTTCGCCGTCTTGTTTCTTCCCACTTTGACGATATATGGGCCGAAATAGTCACAGGCTATGAAATAGAAAGGTGGCGTGAATGGTGCCATTCTCTCTACTGGCAGGTTGGCCATGAGTTGAGCCTCTGTCTGGTGCTTGAATCTTCTACACGTTACACATCTAAATTTAACAGTCTTTGCTAAATTTGTCACGCCTACAATCCAGTACTGACTTCTGACTTTGGCAGCTGTGGTTGCAACCCCATAGTGCCCCTGCTCATGCACGTGTTGAGTAATCAAATATGATACACAGTGTTCTTTGGGCAACAACACAGGGTGTCTTCTTTCATAGGAGAGGGTTCCGTTAGAAGCTCTTCCCCCCACGTAGACAATCTTGTCCTTCTCGAAGGTGCTTAGGGATTTAAATTCCCCTCTCTTTATTCGTTCATGAAGTGGTCTCTGCGCTTCAACTATCCAGTGCTTTTCTGCTACTGCCAATTCTTTCGTTGATAGTGGACCATCGTCTACGATGCGTCTAGCTTTCAAATTCAAGATGAATCTGAATACATATGCTGTCACTCGGATCAACTTTCTCCATCGAGAGAACTTCTTGCAATCTATGGCCTCTTTTACTTCTCTAACTGTCAGCACGATTTTAATGTTCCGCTTTTCTCTGTTAACTTCATTCACGTCTGCTCTAGGGATGGATTTTGGCCACTCTTCTTCTGGTAACAATAAAAAAGCTGGTCCATTCTTCCAATCACCTTCCAGATCTTTGACACCAATCCATCTGGAAACTTTGTCTGCAACGTTGAATTCTCCTGGGATGTGTCGCCAATAAGAAGGGTCGGTTGAGCCCTGAATCTCAGAAACTCTGTTTGCCACGAATGACTTGTATGGTCTTGACTGACCTCGAATCCAGGACAAGGCGATGATGCTGTCAGACAAGAATACGACTCGGCCCAACTGTACCGACATCTCTTCTCTCAAAGTAGTATAGAGTCTAGATGCAACGACCGCAGCTTGAAGTTCCAGACAAGGATCGATGAATTCTGTAGTGGTGCTACACGAGACTTTGCAGCCATAAACCTCACACCAACCGATCCATCATTCAACTCCCACCTCATGTACGCAACAGCACCAAATGCATCTTCTGATGCGTCACAAAAGATGACAAGTTCAGCTGGTTTACTTGGTCTTTCAGGCATCAGGCACCTCTGGAAGCATACGCCATCAAGGCTCTCCAATTCAGCAAAGAACTTCCTCCATTCATCTTTCTCCTCTACTGGAAGGTCTTCATCCCAACCAGTTCCACACTGCCACAGTTTCTGCATCAGAATTTTCCCTTTGATAAGGAAAGCACCCGTGAACCCAATCGGGTCAAACACTTTAGCAAGTTCACTCAGCACCATTCTCTTGGTCAGGAGATCTTTCTCTTTGATCGACACTGGTTTCACCTTGTACTTCATTCTGTCGGATTCTGGATCCCACACCATCCCTAAAACCTTCTGCTCTTCTGAATCACCGAGAACAGGTCGTTCACCTTGCTGTGTGTCGTAACTTCTCAGCCTTACATTGGACACCCATTCTTTAACAGTGAATCCTCCTCTTTCTAGGACAGTATCCATTTCGTTTATTACTACTCTAGCCTCCTCTGTTGAAGGTACTGATGTGCAGATGTCGTCCATGTATGTGTCATGGTTAATTATCTTCGCAGCTTTTGGGCAGGCTACCTCACCTTCTTTTGCCGTTCTCTTTAGCGCTGTCAACGCCATAGCTGGAGCTGGTTTATCTCCAAATGTCACAACTTCCTTCATGTAGACATCGGGTTCCCTTGTGACGTCATAATTTCTCCAAAGGAATCTGTGGACGTGCTTGTCCTTCTCTGGGATTAGGACTTGATGATACATTTTGGAAATGTCACCCGATATCGCAACTGCATGCTGTCGGAATCGTAACAGTACACCAAACATGTCATTGAGAAGGTCTGGACCCTTCTCCCAATAGTCATTCAGCCGATGACCATTGAAGGCTGCTGATGCGTTGAATACGATCCGGACTGGTGTGCTTTTCTTCTCAGGTCGCAACACTGGATGATGAGAAATGTAATGCACAGGGCCCTTATAGTTCTCCATCTCCTCGTTACTCAATTTTCTGGCAAACCCTTTCTCCTCCATCTCCTTCATTTGCTGGTCATATACCTTGGCATTTCTTTCATCTTTTATCAGTCTCTGTTCCATCGACGCCAACTTTGCCATGCACTGCTTCTTGTTGTCTGGAAGGTCTCTTGGGTCTCTTTTCCACGGATAAGGCACCATCCATCTGTTGCCTATCTTTTCGCAGGACTGCCACATGTCGTTGAACTGCTGTCTCTCAATCGGTGATCGCTTCAATTGATCAGAAGTCTTGCATTCACAACTGGTCAATTTAACTCCCATCTCTTCAGTTGACCAGAACTTGGTAAGGTCTGTCATCTCCGTCACATTTACGTGGAGCACAGTTGTTGTTGGTTGCCGATAACCTCTGGATGAACCAAAAGTTAACCAACCCAATGGTGACTTTCTGAGTAGGTACCCATCCACCTCCTTTGTCTCTCCTGCGTGCATGGCTGGGTAGTCCACTCCAATCAACACGTCGACTGCACCATTTCCTCTGTTCAGTGAATGTCCCAACACATTTGTTATCTCTGGCACACCAACAGCTAATATAGTGTGCACTTTCTTGTCGCCGAATATCCTCAGTTTATAGACTTTGGTCTGATAAGCTTGAACATCCCCACCTAATGTACCGATGTCGACGCTTATAGACTTTCCTTTCAGGCCAAGTTGCTCTGCAACAGCTCCTCTGACCAACGTCACATTCGCCCCGGAATCCATCATGATGTTCCCTACGACAGTTTTCCCCGGGGTGCCAACTCTTGCCGTTATAATTGGCAAAGCCACATCATTTTCCTCTGAGGCCATTGCTACTATATTTCCTCCTGACATTCGATGAAGAAGCACATGATGATAAGACGGGCAGTTTTCTTTGATGCACTGTTTACGTCGGTGGCAGGTCCTCATGGAGTGCTCTCGTCCAGCTCTCTTCAAACAGCTAAAGCAGGCATGCTTCTCTTTAGCCATTTCCAAACGGGCGTCAATAGTTAGGCCTTGGATAACTGTGCACTGGTCTGGCCAATGATCATTCGACTCACAACCCCAGCACTTCTTCCACGGAACCGATCTGTTGGGGTAACTGCCTGGAGCACTGCCTCGCTGCTGGGTCAAATTGACCTTGCCCTGAGGTGGATTGTTTCTTACTGGAGCGGTGGCTCTCATTCGAGCTTTCATCTCCTCAGTCAGGAAGCTAAGGAGCCCTTGAAGAGAAGCTTCCTCCTTCTTTTGCTGTAGATGCCTAGCATACACCTTTCTGTCATCAGCTGTCAGCTTCATCTCAATTATCGCCAGCATGTGGTTGTTGTTGAGGTCTGATTCTTTACCCACTTGCTTTAATATGTTGTGGCATCTTCTGACAAGATGGGTGAGCTCACAAAATCGACCATCTTCTCCTTCTCTTAACCCTCTGAATTTAGTAATGTCCTGGGTTATGGCATCTGAGATTATTCTTGGATCTCCGTAATATAGGTCGAGGTACACGCAGCAGGCAGCAGTTCCAATCCCCTTTAACATGTCTAGGGGTTTACCCATCAAACCTCACCCACCCAACTCTGGGATCATACAATGGGTCCACCATGTGTTTGAAATCTTCTCTGAACGTCCAGTATTCCCGAACATCCCCACAAAACACAGGCAGTTTAGGTTTTTCAACCCTTGGCTTCAGTTTTACAGTGTTCAGCTGAGCAGCTGACTCCGGCGCTTCAGCTTGCTGACTGTCATTCTGAATTGGTGACCTTGGTGAGGCTGAACCAACAGATGATGGTGGTGTCAGATTAAATTACCCGGTAGTTGTTCAGATGATTGGACTTTCTTGGTGGCAGACTTGAGTTTAGCTTTGACAGCCATAAACTCATCAAGGCATTTCTGAAGATACTCTTCCTCCTTGTCATACGCTTTCGAGTTAAATTAGCTCAATCGTTAAACTGCGCGCAGCCCGAGGAATATCGATGAGCAAACCTCATCACAACCTGATTAAGCGATTTCAAACTGCAGATTGATTGTAGTCTGGGAGACCAGCTTCCGGAAAATCACTAATCAGTGCGATAGTCAGGATGTGCAGAGTTGAATCCAATAGACACTGAAACCCGCAGAGCCTGCTGCACAGACACTGCTACACAGACTCGGCTGCACAGACTCGGCTGCACAGACACTGCAGCATAGACAATGTTGTACAGATACTGCAGCATAGACACTGCTGCACAGATACTGCAGCATGCCATAAATACTGCAGCATACGTACTGCAGCATAAATACTGCAGTACAGATACTGCAGCATAGATACTGCAGCATAGATACTGCAGCACAGACACTGCAGCATAAGTACTGCAGCACAGACACTGCTGCACAGACACTGCAGCATAAATACTGCAGCACAGCCACTGCTGCACTGATACTGCAGAACAAATACTGCAGCAACGACACTGCCGCATAAATACTGCAGCACAGACACTGCAGCACAGACACTGCACTGACTGCAGCACAGACATTGCAGCACAGACACTGCAGCATCAACACAAACTTTGAGCTCATATATTACAGAATAGACTGCAGCACAGACATTCCATATAATATTCGGGCAGTCCATTTGATATATTATTATACCAAATGGACTGCCCGACGGCTGCATTCAACCCTCGAGCTGACTTCAAGTAACGATTCTAATCGGGTTTTTATTCGCCCTTGAGGTCAGTCCAAGGTGACCGCGAACTGCAAAAACGCAGCACCGTCTAGATTCATCGTCCTTACTCATACACGTACGCAGAAGCTGTGCGCACGCAAATCTTATATATATTAAGCACACTCTCATGAGAATTATCGACTATACATACAGTACTGATATATATAACAAGAGGATGCGAACGCGTATATGTGGATCCGTCCAGATCGATACTATCAGGGGTTAATATTGACAAACCGTCAAATGACAATTTGTCATTATTAACCCCTGATACTATCAGTCCATAATAGAAGATTATTTAAGATTAATTTCTATTATCGACTCTTGATACTATAGTTATGCTGACGTTCAACTATGAGGGAGAAGATGTGGCGAGTGAGGCTGCATAGCGAGTACATGTCTAGGATAAGAGATTGGGTCTGGGTGAATCGGTACCAGTAGCACGGTTCATTTCACGCGCGGTCAAGCTTTCGCGAGCGCGTGTGGATTGTGTGGACCGTTACTGCCTGCAGCTTAGCATAGCTCTAATTAAAAAACATTGATTCTCACGCGTTGTAACATTAAACGGATCGCTTCGATAAAAAGAACTTTATTCCATTCACACGCGTCCATACGACTCGTGCTTCGCTGACGTTTGTAGTGTTGCACAAACCTGAATTGTTGCTAAAAAAATCAATGCAATTGCGCGAAAATTTATACTGTGATCAAAATATCCGAGCCACAATGCAATCGAGTAATGTGATACGAGTAACTCCGATGGAAAGCGATGGAAAGGGTCGATAGAAGTCTCAGTAACATACATGAAGTGACGCAATATTGATTTATTGCTCGAGCGAGTTATTTCAGCACAGGAGAAATAAGCGTTGCCTAGACGTGCGGTTTAGATGCGATTACTAATAATTCTCATCGTATACTTTAATACTTATAAAAATGATTCACATTAGCCATTAAGTTAAAGTTTGTTTTTAGTTTCAAGTAAATTTTTAGTGCGGGACCAAAATTTGTTTAGCAAAATTGTGTTGAATATTTCTTGAATATATTACGTCAAATTAATTTATACGTGGTAATTAGATTAGGTACTTTTATTTAGTTGATAATTCAGTTATAGTGTAGTCATAATTATACCTGAAGTAATTATATTTACAAGTTGAATACCGACAGCACGTTACGGCTATCCCATGATATTATACCACACAACACGCCAGAGTAAGCCATAGCATGGCATGACAAAATACGACACGACACGGTATCACAAAACAGCACGACACAGCACACAATGATACTACACGACACGACACCACATGACCACATAATACACTATGATATGTTATGATATAACACGACACAATTTCGCCATGATACAGTGCGACACGACACACACGCATATTGCATGACCATGATGTGATCAGCAACTTGATATAACTGAACTTCGTAACTAAGTATAGCGGTCGAACCTACCTGGCACTATGGAAACGGTTTTCAAAGCCCTGAGAACTCTGAATGTCCTTATGCCGGCAATGTTCCCCACGGACAGGCCTACAGACTGCAGCGCTATCGTTGTAAAACTGCAATCAGACAAAGCCTTGGATTATTACACGAGCGCATCAACCAACCGTTTAACTATATACCGCACGTGTGCAGACCTATATGATGACCCTGGTGGTATACTAACTTACAATTACACATGCATAGTACAAATTTATACCACCAGCATGTAGACAATTACCCATCTAGTACCAACAACGCACGTGAGGTACGAATTTATACTCTGTGAGTGTAATTCGTTACGCCCTTAGTAAAGATACCATCTGTGTATCCACATGCCACCACCTTACATGCCACCACCTTAGTATATTTATGTGTAGGCTGTCCATGAACACATACATTTAATCTGTGCAAATATTGAAGAATAAAAACATCCGAACTAATCATAAAAGCGATTTAACACGCGCGCAGTATATCTACACGTAATAGGCACTTCAAAAGAAGGCCGACGCTTGGAAATGGATCAGAGCAGGCTACGCGTCTATTATAGATATCTTCAGACGTTCATAACGGACACGTCTAATATTAATGTACTCCTCGGATGACGTCGGTATTGTGTCCACGATGCAATATTAACACCGACTGCAGGTGTAACTGACGCACAGCTGACGGAGGGCTCCCCAGCGAACACGGACGTAAAAAGCCAGCTTCGCATTTATATACTGCCACATCAAGCCTCCAAGGTTTCAAACCGACTTTTTTTATTTGTCGACCGGCCGCCGCTGTCTCGTATCATACATCAGTTACGCAGTTTTACATCCTCAACATCAGACTCCCGTATGAACGATCTTCCACTCCATATGCGCCTCGTGCATCTGTCCCAACGAACGCAGTTTTGTTCGAAATCGCTACATAGCTATACAGTAAACACCCGCACAAAAGAACCCGTGATTTTAAGAACCTCCAGGCTGAAATTGGACCAATAAAGCACCTATTATATAAGAACCTCTTCAGCCTGATAAATTAAACAGGTTCTTATATAAAAAAAATGCCGAAAATTAGAGCAAACTGGGGAAATCCAAGTATGTGTGCTACACCATTGGAAACTGTCTACTATTAGTCAAATCAATTTTCACAGCATTTGACCTTTCTTTGTGTTTAATATGATAAGTAAATTAAAGGTGATAAATAAATTAACTCAAATAAATTTAAACAGACATATAATTTCTAATATTAAACAGTTGGTTAATTAGTGTCAATTATTCACCTAGATAATGTACACAATACCACCCTCCCCCCCAAAAAAAAAAATTAAGAACCTCTTTAAGAACCTCTTCAGGCTGATTTCTCACTATGTACCATATATATAAGAACCTCTTCAGCCTGAAACAAAAAATCACGGGTTCTTTTATGCGGGTGTTTACTGTATCGCTATATCGGAATACTATGCTTGTATTGCGTAACAGCGCGGGGCAGCGGACAGATGGGCTCTGGCACTTATTTGCCGCTACGTCACCCACGGATGCATGGACAACGTCGCACGACGACGTGCACATATATCGCTGCGCAGACATTCCACCTGCTGGTGCAGTAGAATAGATAGTCCCTCCCCCTCCCCCTCCCCCTTCCCCTCCCGCTCCCGCTCCTTCCTCTCATCTCATTCAGACGGCTCCCAGTGTCTGAAGTACACCCAAAGGTCGCCGTCGTCTGGCCTGGTATTAAATGAATTCGATTAATTATATAGTGACTGACTGACTTGGATTGCCCGGACAGAAGGGCGCGCGGTCGCCGGCGAGAGAAGACGGTAGAGAATGAGGAGGAGGAGGATGGAAGCGAAGAAGAAGAAGGGAGAGGAGGAGGAGGAGGAGGAGGAGGAGGAGAATGATGATGAGGAGGAGGAGAATGAGGAGGAGGGGGAGGAGGAGGAGCAGGAGGAGGTACTGTCGGATCGAGAAGGAATATAAGAAGTCGACGAAGATGGTGAGAGGAAATGATGTGGATGAGGGGAGGGTGCTGATGAGGGTTATGATGAGGATGGGTAGAGTAGGAAAGATGGAGAGGAAGAGGACGTGGTACAGCAGATGGTAAAGTTATAAGTAAGCACAGTTGAGGGGATGGAGGAGGAGGAGGAGGAGGAATAAGGAGCAAGACGAGGAGCAGGCGGTGTGTGAACGAAGAGGAAGAAGTGTGAAGACGAGGAGGAGGGAGAGGCGGCGGTGTGCGGATGGGCGGGAGAAAGACGGAGAGATACAGGCAGTGGCACGAAGGGCGGGGCAATCCCGGCTAAGATAATCAATACTGCTAATTTGCTTCGAAAGACTATATGTCATCAAAATAACCTGTCCGTGGTATGACGGCGCGCGGTCGGCCGGCGGCTTTCGTTCTTACTCTCTCTCTCTCTCTCTCACTTTCTTTCTCTTTCAACACGGGAGACTTGTCTGCGCTGTCGCTCTATAGCGAAAGGAACTGCTGTATCAGATTTCAAGCGCTGTCGAGATCCGCCGCGAAGCCGTAATTACTGAAAACACACTCCACGCGCACTCAAGTAGCGCACGCATGTCGCATGTCATTATTGCCGAAGCTTACAAGATGAAAGCTGCACGTTGATGCCCCCGATCGATGGGTACTCGGCGATATGAGGCAAGGCATAAACTGCAATCGGATGCAATATCTGCAGTGTTTTATGCCAGATTCGCCGCCGGTGCGCGCGTTGCTGCAGTAGCAGCGGCCGCTGATGAGGATGAGGGCGAGGATGCTGCTTAGAATGCTGCTGAGGATGAGGATGCTGCTGAGGGTGAGGATGCTGCTGAGGATGAGGATGCTGAGTGAGGGTGAGGATGCTGCTGAGGGTGAGGATGCTGCTGAGGATGAGGATGCTGCTGAGGGTGAGGATGCTGCTGAGGATGAGGATGCTGCTGAGGGTGAGGATGCTGCTGAGGATGAGGATGCTGCTGAGTTTGAGGATGCTGCTTAGGGGGAGGATGCTGCTGAGTT